TTACACTTCCTCTGGGCACTGCCAGCTAAGTCTGTATGTTTGGACAACAATTTATAATAAAGTAAATGCTTACATTTACTAAGTCCACAGCCAATGTGTCTGTTAGCTTTGGTTCACCTGCATGAGTCCCTGGTTGCAGGATTTGCTTGGTTATTGTGCCCCTGTGTTGAGAAGGAATGGCTGCATATTTCTGGCCATGTCATCATGAGTTGTGAATGACAAACCAAGTGACATGATTTATTTGATTACTGCAATGCTTGTGAATAGTTCAACACCGACAGCCTGGGAGGAAAAGTGCCATTAAATGCCCTGGGATAAGCATAAGATGGGTCACAACACTAGAAGGTTTTCCCCTCTGGCCCAGGCATTGTGCCTCATTTCTGAAGTTACTGTCCCATTGACTTATTTGCTGGGCTGTCACATCAACTATGGCAATGTTTTTAACACCACTATATTTCGTGACATTTGCTCCTTTAAAAATGGGAATAAGGTCACACTAAGCAGCTGTGAATAGCCATCAACTTTCAGTTGCTACCAGCCAGGATGACATTTGAAACAGCAGCTTTGGTTGGGGATGAAAGGCTCTGTGTCCTACTGACAGTGCCTTCAGCCAGTCAAAGATGGAAGTAGGAATGAGAAGTCTGAGATGCATRTTTAAAACTGCAGGAACAGCACTTACTATGAAGACATTATTTGAAATAATGTCTAAAGGGCAATAGRAGTGTGCTTAATTMTTTAATGTTTTTAGTCTGAAAACTTAGTTTTTAATGTTATATTTYATGTCCTACATAGGGTTCCACTTARTCCATAGMAAAAAAATATTGCTGATTGTTTTCACTGCAGTATTAGCTGAAGGTACAAGTTCCWGTCAMGGAAAAGCTTCCTACAAGGCATAAGTGATACTTTAWTTGCAGCATGTGTCAATAKTCACRTGATGCTGACATTGGACCCATGAATATCTGGTAGYTCTGATAAATCAACCCATGGCAGCTTCTGCATTACCAGTGTGGCTGCTCTCAGCCTGTGCCAGTAAAGTTGAGCAAGAACTGAGTAYCTGTAATTAGCTTAATTATATTAAATTTTGATCAAAAATTTCATTTCAAATAATCATTGGCTTATGAGGTTAAAATATGTGTGTTTGGGAAAGAGAAAAAAACATTTTGTGAGAAAGAGGCGTATTTTGAGGTGCCTTGCTTGTGTCTATGTATACAGGCCTGGTATAGTAGCTTGTAGGAAAGAATCTGTTGAGTGTGCAAATGCACATCTCCAGCAGTTGTTTATTTGTGAAGATGATACTTGAAAGTGCARCTGAATATGCTTCCAAGACCTTTCTACTACCAAGAAAATGTTTCAAATAAAAAGTTCCTTATTTCTGCATTATTTTCCAGTTTACTTCACAGGCATCAAGCTTATGGTTTACTTGAAACCTCAACAAAGAAGACTTTCTCTCTCTTAAAAATGGTGAGAGAGTAGTTTACTGCCTAGTTTAAAGTAGTTTACTGTCATTTATCTCCATTGTAAATTACAGAATGTGTTACAACTAATCAGAGAAAGCAGTTCAGTATTATGAAACCAACCTTAACAGAAGTAATTGTCCCTTAAGTTTCTACGCTTTCCTGAAATTTGAATTGCAAAATTCTCTTCTCAGAGAAAGAATGCAAAACTCCTCAGTTTATTAGTAAAGTCGATGTTCAAATGGAAATGTTTTATATTACATCTTTTCCTGAATTCGTCTTTAGCAGCACCATAATACTTGAACAGTTTTCTTGACTTTTRGGAAATACCATCTTTACATATCAACTATGGTGCTCCTTATGGCTCATCCTTCTTTTAATAGGATTGAAGAGAGGAGAGCTTCTGAATGGTTGTGGGCTTAATAAAGAAAAGTAATTTTGAAATTCTTGTTAAATTGCAGTGAGTGTACAACTAAACTGAGATTTAATTACATTTTTAATTAAAGGAATAGCTATTGATTATGTCATTGAATCTGTGTTGCAGCCAGCCCTAGCAAACAGCTATATTACAAGAGACCATTAAACCAGTTGTTAAAATTCCAAATGAATGAGAACTAGAACTGRTGTGGATAAAAGGCACAGCAATGTTGGATAGAAAAAAAAAAAGATAACACAGTGAAAAATACAGTAATTTCTCAAATTTTGGTGAATGGTGRTTTTATGTCCATCATAATTTATGGTAATCTGTGGAACAAAAGGAAGATGAAACTKGAACGATTTTAAAATAAKAATCATGGATAAAGTTTCATCTTGAAAGTGAGCAGTGATTCAGATAGTATTTCTCATGAGTTCCTGTGAAGCAGGATGTAATCTGTCGTATGCAAGTGATCTTCCCATTGCTCAGGGAGCAATCAGATCTACTCAGGCTGAGATAAAGGGCAAATAAATGCCAGTGATCAGTACAGTAAGAGCTTGGGAGTGCTGACAAAACAAAAACCATAGGCAGCTGTGGCTGAGCTGGCTACTGGGTGCTGGCAGCTCACACTGTATTCAACCTGCAGYTTTCCTGCTGCCACAGGGTTGGTCTGTCCTCTCCCAGGCCCATGGAGTGGATGCCTGGCTGTGGGTAGRAAGCTTTTTCTGCACACTGATGATGAAGAGCTGGTAGAAAAGCCCCAGTTACCCTCGTAGATCTGTGCAGCCCTGTTTGGTCTGTGCAAGTTCTCGGTGGGCACAGGTGGCACTGCCAACTGGACAGGTTGGTTCTTCACCAGCGTCCCTGGGCTTGTATGAAGCTGGTAGCTGGCACTTAGGAAAACATGTTCTAAATTTGGGCTGGATTTGATTGAAATGGACTGGAGGCAGCTCATGCTGATCCTCTCCCTTCTTGTGMTGCCACTTTTACTGCTGAAAGGATCTTATTGAAGCACTGTATTACCCCAGGGAGTAGCCCCTGTGGATGAATGCCATGAGAGCCCATTGCYTGTGACTGAAAGCTGCTCTGCACAGTGAAGTCTAACAGGGAGGTGGTGTAGATGATCTCATGTGTGTTTCTGTTTCTGTCTTTTACAATTTCTGTTCATATAAAGCCATTTTAATCCTTTCTATTCAAATGCATTGTATGCACAGAAATGTGTTCTTAATGGTGACACAAGGCATGCTGCAAMATGGGCAGGCTTCTGGTCAGACCCTGTGACTCAGTTGAACAAAGTTATTGGTTGAAATAGATAATTTAAGAATTAAACCTTTTTCTTCAGACCAGATTTTATAGCTGAGCATATTTGAATGTTCTCTGTCTGATTCTATTGGTTATTTCGTGAAGAGACTGTGAGGGCTGTACAAATGTCAGCATCCAAAAGTTAGGATGTAGTAGAATGAGAGATATGTGTAACCTTTATTTGACCTTGTAGTTTTATGGAACATGATTCACTCCTTCCTCTGTGACCTCTGGGCTTTTTGAAGGGTACAGGATGACGAAGGGGCATGAATATGGAAAGTGCAAGGAATGTGGCAGTGGCTGGTGAGCTGCAGGAGTTGTGGGGAAATGTTTGGTAGAGGTATGAGCACTCTTTAGGAGCAGAAAGCAATGTCTTGTGGTGAAAGTGCTTTTCTCCCTATATTGCCCCTATTATGCGAGGTGGTGTTCTCACATTCAGAACCCCAATTACAAAACGTTTTCTGTGTCTAGTGGGTAACAAATAAAGAATGGATTTCTGAAATATAAACCGTGAGAATCAGATATAAACTTCAAGAGAGTAAACAGGTTTAATGATCTGTAATCAGAATTTACCAATGATTTGTGCTTAGCTAATGACATCACTGGGGTTTTTCCCACACACAGGATATGTTTTAGTTTCCTTCAGGCAGGTCCCTGTTCCCTGTAACTGCTGAACTACAGGATGTTACAATTATAGATGTAGCGACACTGTTGCAGAATCACTGCTGATAAATTATGGTGGGATGGCAGCTGTAAGTACAGCTTCTGTTGTGATTTAAGAGGGAGATGTGAAGGCGTATTGCCCAGATGCTTGATCAATGGTAAATAGGCCAGCCGCAGCACGCTAAAGCTTACAAGTCCTTGCCAGATTTTGGGATTAGAAGTGATCATTTCAAGCGTTAACTCCTCCGATATCAAAATAATCAGTTGCTCTGGTCCTTCCCTTTTCCTTTCTTGTCAGCCAAAATTTATTTACATTTGCAAGCAGGATCTGACATGCAAACCAGGCTTTTTAGTAATTTTTTTGAGATACAAGAACTTTTCAGCAAGCTGCCAAGTGTTCAGTGTCTGTTTGAGCTACAGGGCATGCGATGTCATGTTGTGTTCCCCATGACCTTCCCATTTACCTGCTTAACTCTCAGGAAATGTGTGGCTGTTTGGAGATGTGTAGTTGTACTACTTAAGGCTGGAGAAACAATAAACCATTCATTGCAGATTCATGTAATAAACCACACCACCAGCAAAATCAGCTATATTCAGGATTCCTTTGATACAAAAGGGCATATAGTTTTGGTCACTCAGCCCCCTGCTCTGTTAATCCTGTGCAGGTAACACTCCAATGACTGATGAGGGGCAAGAAAAATTTCCATATGCAATTGCCAACTTTGCAGTGTTTTTAACCTGGCTGCTCTCAGACAAACCCCACACATCCTGAACTGAAGGCTGGTGTAGCTTGGTTGCTTTTTCCCTGAAGTGAGAAATTAAAATAACTGCCTCCCCAAAATATCCCCAGGATTCAGACTAAATGGGGCTGCATTTGCATTGATACTAAGGATGAAATCAGGACTGCAGTGTGATATATGAATCTGCACACATACAGAGACTCAGAAGATGGCTGAATATTGTTGATTAAGCTTAGACATGGTCTTTGTCTAAAATTCAGTCCTGTTCAGTAAAAGGGATTTTTTGCGGGTCTCTTCAATGTCACATTCCATTCACAATTGTAATAAATGCTGTAACTTGTTTCCCTCTCTTATCCCCCAAAAATGACAGAGAAAAATCTTTTGCTAATCCTTTGATAATGGTTCTTTCTTTTTGTTCCAGATAACTTCAAACAAGAAGCACTCGGAGAGCCTGAAGAATGATGGCGAAGCYCTTATCCAGGCTCTAGAGAGCCTGGCCCAAACTGCCAGGTGAGTTCCCTCAGGCTTCCAGGAATTTCCAGGGCTGAGAGCGCTCACCTTCTCTTTTATCTGCAATGGTTTKCTGTAATTCTGTGCAGTAGGAGCTTCTCAGGTTTCTGTCCCTTTTCCCCCTCCCTGCAYTGCTCAGCTCCAAAATCCTCTCGTCAGAGCCTGCGGCACACTTTGATCCCAGCTGCAGCACAGTCCGGCTCTGTGTGTGTGTCAATTCTGTGGATTTTTTTTTTTTTGTTTTATTTATTATTTTGTTCCAAACCTTGGYTTCTATAACCAGATACCTGTCGGTGGTTCTTGGCAGAGTGGGCTGCATGCTCAATGCAACATTTGTGCCCTGTGTTAAGTTAGCTGTGGTTGTGGTGCAAGCYGATTCCTTTCAAACGTGTGCAGCTGAAGAACAGAACTGCTTTTGTTGGAGAATACCTGCGGCTTCTCCAGAAGGCACGAGACTTAGGGCAGAGCCATGGCAAGAACAGAGGTGCTAGTACCAACAAGCTGGCCAAACCTGAGCTCATCTCCCATACACTTTCCCTCATCTAATCCCCCTCGGACAAATGAAAGAATGAATGGCTGTTCTCTGCCTCTCAAAACAAATTTTATACTTCTGCTGTGTGCTGTTAGGTTTCATTTCACTCATGGCTGAACTAAAATTCATAGAGAAATTGTAGTTCACAGGTCGGTTTTTGAAACACTAAGATAATCTTTTCAGTCTCCTTGTACTCCCAAATACAGACTTTGGGGAAAATTGACCCCTCAGCATTGTGGCAGTGTGTACCCTGTGTTGGAAGGAAGGAGGGTTGTGGACAGACATGGAGAGSAAATGTTGGGATGTGGTGAGTGTAAGGAGATGCACACTGAGAACTAACCAAACCTGTTGAGAGCAGTCAGCATCCCTCTCACACACACAGCTGCTTACTCACAGGGTTTTGTATGACACATTAAATTATCTCACTAAAATAAAATGTCAGCTCTCCCCAAGCAAGACACGGGCACCACTACTGAAGATAAGAGTAGGGGAAGATGCGGTTTTCTTCTGTTGGAAACAGCTTTCACTCTGTTWGTAGCATTTCAGCATTAGGTGCACCGCACAGGCAAGTCGCTGTCTTTTGAGTTCTGCTTTTCTGGCTTCCTCAGTAGTCTGTTATAGTCTATACATTTCTSTATGCAGGAAAACATGCGCTACAGAGCCCAAATAAACAGCACTCACTCTTATTTAACACAAGATGCTCAGTAGATCAAATTCCAGCTGATATCATTGAGCACTGTTTTTATCCATTAAGGTGAGCCAGGTTCCTCTGCTGTGCTGAGCCCCTCACTGCAGTAGTGACAAGGGGAGCCCCTGCRAGCGAACTCAGGGATTTTCTTTCCCCTCCTCCCCTTCTTTCAGGAGTACATGTCCCTATCCATTTGCCTCCAGGGGAGGCTGGGAGGCATTCAGCCTTGTTCTTGGGGCTCTAATGGACTCAGACATGGATAAATTGTCAACAGGCAGGCAGGAGAAACGCGGAGTTAGAAAGCTTTATCAGATTTAGCTGAATGGCCATTTGTTTATGGAAGATACAGATATTCCTCCTTCTTCTCAGTTTTCCTTATGTGGCATCTTTCCCAGAGTATTCCTTGTGACCTAATAAACTTGGTCTCCTCACCTGTGCTTTGAGCCTCATCAAGGAACCTCCCTGTATCTCCTGCAGAACTGGAAATGTTTTAGAGGCAGTTACAGACAAGCTCCTGGATATAAGCCATCCTCAGGGTAGTCTAAGCTCCCAGGCACTTCCACCCACATATTGCCACTGGTTTGAATTGATTGAGGAGTGCCTTTGCTTTGCTCATTTCTTACAGACAGGTTTCTAATCTCTTGCTCTTCCTGTATGTCAGAAGGGGATTCCAGCCAAGCAGTCATGTGCCAAGAGAAGGGCGCTCTTTGGACTGAAAGCTGCTTTCAGTTCTCCCTTGCTGCCATGTAGCAGCCATGGATTGCCAAACTCTTTCACTGTGAAGCTTCCTGAGGTAGCTGGAACGGGCACTTTGAAGAGGGACATGACTAGCCCATTTTGCTTAGTAACCTCTGGAATCAAATCCATGCGTTAAAATGTGGGATCACAGACATTTACTTTTCAGTGAAGACAATTGGTAAGATTAATTTGTTTCAGATAASTGAATTTTCTGATTTAAACTGCTGCTTATTAAGACATTAACTGATGTAGTATGGTCTGATCATTCGGATTTCCTGGCTAGCTTTGCATTCACTGAARTGTGGAGTATCAAYAGGTATTGTCATTAGCAGMAACYRAGGAAATTGCAGATTGATCTGCTGRTGCCCTTTGTAAGCTARRGATGRGGGATTGTATTCCATTAAAATACCAAAAATACTTGATTCTGTGGACTAGGAGTAATGTGTTGGAGCCTCTGTTCCAATGCAAGAAAAACGTATGTTTCCAGAAGAAAAAATTAGGCAAAATACATATAATAAGACCTTAAGTGAGGAAGCAAAGGACCTCAGTGCAGCAATGTGGTTGGAGGGGCAGCCACTCCTCCTTGCAGGAGGTGGGCAACACACTGCAACAGAGCAGTGCTGCAGGCAGAGGGCTGTGTGTGTGAAAATACATCTTTCTGTCAAGCTGGAAGTGAGTGAGAGAGAGTGTGTGTGTGTGTGTGTGTGTGTGTGTGTGTGTGTGTGGAGTCACGGGGTGTACGATAAATTCGATCTGCTTTTTTTTTACAGAGGAGGTTGAGTGAGGTAGCAGTTACTGGGAATTGGAGCCGAAATTCATTTCTACATAAGATTTGCTATAGGGCAGAATCCCTGAGTACATGTTACTGCTTAACAAAAAAGCAGGTAGAGAGTGCAGTTAATGGCTACTCAGAATTTYCCAGCGTAGATAAAGGCAAATGTGGAATTTGAACAAAACCAWTTTTTTTCCCCTGAGGATGTCTAATAAATGCTACTGTTTTTAATTCCTAGCTCTCACACTGACACTGCTGTTGCTTCCTTGGCATCTGAAGTTCTGAGAACAGTGGGACGTGAACACATCAAGACTCCCAAGTGAAGCATTTTTGACCAGCCTTCTGAAATGTGCAGGTTGTGTACCCTGCTCAGCACCTCGGTCCTGCAGATGACCTCAGATGAGCTGAACAGATGTAACTCATTTAGCAATCTGAGCTGTAGCACATGCATGAATTTGGGCTGGTTCTGGGGATCATGTTTTTTATTTGTTTTTTATACCCCTATAAGGATGAGTTCTTGGTTACCACTTTGYCTTGCTAGCATTACATGATGTAGCTCAAGTATTTGACAGACAGTTTGAAAGTGTAAATTAAATAAATAGCAGTTACTTCACAATATAAAGTCTTTCASTATTTCAAGATGTTAGAAATGCTCATTTATCTTTTAGTCCAGGTGATATGGCTGTTCATCCTAATCACCTCATGCTTGTGACTGGCACTARGAAATACCTTTTTATCAGGACAGGCAATATTGTTCAACTCAAGCAACCAGTGCCAACCACTGTGGATCACAGAGGCTGTGTGTATGTGGCATGTAAGGATGACAGACGTTCCCCAGGTTTCTGCTGAGGAGCCTTTTGTGTGCCCCTCCTTTGCCTAGCACTGCACAGCTTCAGCTGCATGGGTGGAGTGCTGTTCTCAGCAATGCTCCTGGTTGCAGTTCTTTGTGAACACGTGTGATGAGGACCTGGCAGTTTGTCAAAGCTCCAGTAAAAGCTTGTACCCTAGAAAGGGTCCTCCAGAGCTTGCAGATCCCACAGTGGGAAGGGGTAAATGCTTCTCCACCTGTGCTGTGGTTGATGGCTGTCAGTGCAGCAACTCTGTGTTSCTACTACACCCACCAAATCCAGGTGCCTGAGAGCTGCTGCTGCACCCCTGCTCTGGGACAGCCTCATTATCCCGACTATAGGGAGGCAAGCAAACAGCCCCAGGTAAAGAGATTTCACCTTGTCTGTTTTACAGGAATTGTTTTCTTACATTACTTAAATACACTATCTTTCATAGTTTAACAGCTTAGAGTTACKAGAAAAAGGCAAGAGTTAAGTGCTGGCCATTGGTGTCATATTTTACAGTAAAAGTCAGGTAGCTGACAGGAACAAAGAACAAAGCTGAATTCCTTGGGTGAGACCTTTCCCAGTGCTGCAGAAGGGGAAGCAGGCTGGTGTGCTTCCCTTCAGCTCCCAGCATCTCGAGCCAGGAGCCTGTGCAGCCAAGGCCTGCTCTGATCTCCTGCTGGCAAACTGCTGYCTGCAGTGGAAGTGTCTGGGAGCTTGTGCTCCCACACAGCTGGTGACAGCTGCATGGTGCAGATGTGCAGGCTGTGGCTGAGCCAGCAGTCTCAGAACCACTTTGTCCCCTTCAGTCACACAGGTGCTGCCTCAAGGGAAGCCAGTTACACACAGCTCTTGTTTCACACAGTAACTGAATGCTGAAAAGGAGACAGCCACTGAACCAGCTGAGAGCTTGTGGGCAAAGAATCTTTCACCCAATGCTTAGTGACAATGCACCGCTGGGGGAAATGAGGCAAGAGGCTGTTCTCCCCTTTTTAAGCCCAGAGCAGATGTGGGGCTGGCAGGCCAGGCACAAAGTGGACATCTGGCTCGACCTGCCAAAGCAAAGCAGGGGAAGGCCTGAAGCAGGAAATGTCCAGGCTATGAAGGGTAACTGTGCCAGAGTGGGATGGAAGAGGTAAACCATTCTTGTCTCCCTCCACTAAAGTGGTTGTGAAAGTCCAGGAGTATTTCTTAACACACAAATATATTTTGTGATCTGAAATAATTTGACACAGAGTGAATTAAAAGTTTACTTTAATTTTGAACCATTTTATAACTGCATTTTTCTCATGAAGCATCTGTATCACAGCAGGCTACAATAACTTTGGGATAAAAGGCAACTGGTAAACTGTCCAATACAAGGTTCCAAATAAACAGTTCTTACTGGCCCCTACCCAGACATATCCCAGATAAAGTTTTTGATCAAAAACATGAAATAGATCCACCTGCTTATTTTAAGCATATTAAAAAGGAAACTAATTGGACCATTTCTATTTGTCTAGTTTTTTATACAAAAAGGCTACACAATGTTACACTTTATTCMGAATACAGTTAGAGCGATTATGAATTAGTGTTCTACACCTTTACTCAATCCTTAAAAATTAGAAACTGCTGTAGCATATTCACTATAACTTAATACTACGAGAGACTTTAAAAAAAACTAACAACAATTACTGCAAAAAGAAAGGCTACTTTCAAAGCAAGCAAGGTCAGTACCATTACAGAGATTTAAAAAAAATAATAAATTTTTAACAAGCAAGGCTAGGGTTTGATAAATTCCATCTTGCAATTCATTCTTGTGCATTCTTCGTTTCTTGAATCACTCCCAAAATCCATTTGTATTATTACTCCTCGACCAAAAAGGACCAGAACAAAAAGTTTACTTCAATTGTTCCCATAGGAAACTCAGCTTGGTTAGTGTGTCAGGCACTTTCTGAGATACTAGCCCACCCCTCGAGCCCTCTCAGCAACTCTACAGGCCAATCAATGCAAGTTCACTCAGATGATACAGCTGTAAAGAGAAAAAACACAGGTGTCAGTRCTCCCGAGTTGTACAGGGCTGTTGTAACACATAAAGACTGCATGAAGCTGGTGCACAAGACATTACAGTTAATTACTTCCACACTTCACGGCAGAAGTCAGTTTGGAGTGTGCTGATTGTGTGTTTCCAGAGCATTTATTCATTATTCTGGCACACTGGGACCCAATTGAGCCAATCCCTCCCTGCCAACCAAGTCCTCAGTCCAGTCAGCTGTTTTTCTCTTTTTGTTTTGTTTTTAAATTCAAGGTTGGAGCTTCTTACCTAAAAGGATGATTTACAGGTCAGTATCGAACCAGGCCAACTGATTACTGTCACCTGGAGGCAGCCCATCCATAAGGTCCTGGGCATGGCCAAGATCTGGCAGACCATCAACTGGGTAGTCAGCACCAGGGTGGTGGCCACCCATTTCATGTTCCATCATAGGGTCCATACCCAAGGCATCCTGACCGTATCCGCCAGAGTGGAAAGAACGGTAGCTAGGATCTAMGAAAGTTAAAGGTGGCAGAGGGAAAAAAAGCATAATGTTAACAGATGTTAGATGCATCAGAAGCTGCAAGTATCAGTGTGTGAGGAGATTGTGTAGCCATCTAATTGTTCTCTAGTTCAGCCAAGTTCAACACAATCTGGTGCCTGCCCTTAACTGCTATTCCATTGTTCGGAACAGCCTTCCAGTAGGATTCTGCAGACAAAGCACACTGCAGTCAGAAGCACGAGCAGATTCCAGCCAAGCCATTAGTCTGCACAATCAACAAGACTAAAATTTAACAATACTGCAGCAAAACTAGGCTCCAAGACTGTAGACTTGCTTCTGAAAAACTAGTCAAAAATAGCTCAGAATCCTTAGGGACAGGATTGCGKTCAAATCTATAGACACTTAGAGACTAACACATTCAATACCAGCTTTGTTGTTTTAAAGAAAAACTGCACTATTGGAATTGTCAAGTCCATTTGTAAGGAATGTAAAAGATTTCTGGAAACAACAGCTCAGCAGGAGGTGTTCCCACAGGACTCAGACAAGAGACACTAGTTTTGCATGTTCATATGGCTCCCATTTCAGCGCTGCCAGTGGTGTTGCAGAAACTGGTTATTTGAACTGGCAGCTCCCCATCTGCCTGTCAGTTTGCAATACCTTGCTGAAGAGTAAATACACTCTTCACTCATTTGCAGTTCTCCTTTAAAATCTATGACTTGACTTCATCCAATTTAAAGTTTAGTCAAGGGGAACAGAAGACACGTACCATCTGGGCGGTATCCAAGAGGCTCTCCCTGGGCACCAATATCCAGTCCAAGATCTGCTGTCTACGTGTACACAAAGAATTACAAAACAGTTTTAACATCAGGTCCTTCAGCCAGCACYAGTAATTCTGAGTTTAAAAAGTTGTGAAGGTTGCCCCAAATCCCTTTGAACAACTTCTCTGCAGTGAGCACTGCAGCACTGCTGTAACATGAAATGCCTTTTTAGCTAAATATCTGCATCCAACGTGTAATAGCCAAATGTAGGCATAGGAATCCACAGACCAGTGGAAGCAGGGTTCTGTCTGGGAATGAAAAACATGGGCTACGTCTAGGAACACTTGTGAAGTACACCTGTCCAGATCTTGCAAGTCAGATATTCCCAAGCCAGCAGTAGAACTTTTAAGAGTTCTGAATGAACTTCTCCCATTTGTTCTAGTAGAAAAGTAATTGCTTGACTGCAGAGCAATTGCCTAAGTCCAATCTCAAAGAGATACTCCATTTTAGCTTTTTCCCCCCCCGCACATTCTTGTGGTAGATAGAGATTTTAGGAAAACAGAAAAGCAAATACTGAWATAGTACAAACCAAAGCCTACTGCCCCTTATGTAGCAGATACATACTAGACAAGCTAGGCTACTGAATCATAAGAATTTGTGGGAAGACAAAAGAATTAGCAAAGCCTTCCCTGTATCCCAAGCACACAGATTGACCCATGCACACATACTGACTTCAGTCTCAATTSACTGTGTAGTCTGTTAAACATGAAAAAAACGCCATGTGTGATAATCAGCCTGCAAATCTATTCAAGTCTGAAATCTGAGTTCTCARAACAAGTTGCATTCCCAGCCCAAGATTACTAATCCTACATTACTGGCTTGATAGAAGCCTCACAGGATATGTTTTGTATTTATGCTTCCCTCATATTTCTATTTTTGCATCCAGAATTCATTAGTTTTTGACAAGCAATACAGAAAAGTACATGTTCTTTCATAGAGCTTTGCACACTGGCAAACATAATGAGAATTACAAACATCATCAGCAGCAGAGAACAGACCCTCCCTATCTGCCAGGGTAAAAGCAGCTTGAAGGCTGCTTACCACAGGTTCACTGTACCTGAACACAGAGAGAGAGTAAAGCAGGTACAGCCACCACACAGCTGTGTAAAGCTGGGCCTGTATCAGTGATGGCACCTACACTTCACTGGTGGAAGGAGGGAGGATGTAGAAGTGAGATGGCCCTAGGGAGCTGTTAACACAGAAGACAGAATTCACCTCATTCCAGGCCATTGGCTCCGTCCGGAACAAGGAGCTTGTCAATTCAACTGAAAGTCGCTTCTTGTAGTCCTGTGGTTTGTCCTCAGACATTCTGAACAGCACTGCAGCTGCGTAGGTTGCTGCCAAAAGGAAGAATGGTTTTAGCAGAGGTCAAGACTTCTATCAACTCTTCTAACCCAAGTATGAAATCAGCCTTAAGTTCACTTACCAACACCCTCATTCCTAGAATGAAGCAGYTCTGTTAAAGGAGCAGTTGCACCTTCAGCTTCAATTGCTTCAGCTGCTTCCTTGTCTTGAGCCAGTTCACAAAGTACACCAGCAGCTACTCTCTGGATATTCTCAATGGGAGAGTACAACAACTGCAACCAAAACATGAGGGTTCTTTAGCTCTTCCAATTGTAATCAGCTCTTCAGCACACTCTGACTTAGCAGTTCCATCCARGAAGAGCAAGAGCTATTTTACTTCTTTTCCTAATATGTACTATAGCGTTAGGCTACTATGTACTATAGTGTTATCTTGAGCTCTCACTTACCTGCACAAAAAGTGGAATGGTATTTAGACCCCTGATTACGATTCGATTATGAACATCACGTGCAAGGATGTGCAGGGCTCCAGTGCAGCCCTCRACAATTTCTTCCATACGCACACCCTCCTAGTTAGGGAAAGAAAAGGCATTTTTAAATTTGATGTATTGTGTGCTCTCTCCTTAAATGTCTGTCAAAAAGCCAATCAACAGTGTCAACTAGTCACCCGAACTTGTCCCCTTCATGCACCCCCTTCCCCTAAGTGCTGGCCTTTAAACTTAACATCTGTGCTATGAGTCAATCCARTTTACCCAACCAAATTCAGTACGTGAAGCATCTCAGTGGAACGCCTCAGGGATTTTTACTATAAACTTCATATCTGATAACACCACCTCTTTTCTATGACCTGGATTAGCTTGGCAGTTACTAAGCTGGAAACAGCAGTTGCCAGTAATAAAGAGGTCCCTTCCTGCCTCTGCACAAATTAACTACACTCCTGTACTAGTAGATGCTGCTTCAATTTGGCTGTGCTAAGCAAACCTCCCCTTTGTTAATGTGTTTAACAGGACAAAAATAATCAAATTGAGACTGATCTTGTCAAACTAACTTGGAACCCAAACAGGTAACAAGTACAGAGCCTGCACAACTTCTTAGTACTTTTACAAATCTAAGCACCCTGACAAATATGCCATAAGCTATGATAGCATTCTTAAACCCATTCTTCTGAGAAGGATGAGGGAGTTCTGGTTTCTTGGTAGACAATTACTTGCCTTGTAATTGAGGCAAAGTAGAGCGTTCCAGTATTTCTGTGAGCTATAACATTCAGAATTCAATGCTTAAGAGGATCTTATTAAAATAAGACAAGGTTTTGGCATTCTGATTTAAGAAAAATCTCAGGTCTGCCAAGACAGAGCTATCATCACTCAGAGACTAATGTGGACTAGAGCAAATAAGACAACAGCTCTTTAGCCCAAGCATTGCTGGGCTGAGGTGCACTGACAAACAAGGAGTTTGAGAAGAACTTTTAGAGACACTGTCAGGGGAGGGCACTTACCACAAACTGCTGTTGTGTCCCACCCATGGAAGTGCGTCGCTGGGTATCCTGGTGTGCTCTAACCAGCAACTGCACTAGCCTTGGAATAGCACCTTGTTCACGCAGCGGGGCGTGGTTTGCAGGACACAGAGCCAGGTTGCGGATCAAGCCAACAGTAGCCTGCAGGTAAGGAAGGGGTGGGGAACAAAGGAGCAGGAGGGGTGTGATTGCTGTTAGTGACTTTGTTCAATCAGTTGATCTCAAATGTTTCAATCTCTAAGAGAAAACACATAAGTTGCTCAACTGAAGCAACTTCACAGCTTTTCCCATCAGACAAACCGCTTTCCCAAAGACCTCAGAAACAAAGTATTTTTCCCATTTAAAGTTACATTTTAAAAAGCAACAGTTTTCAGTTTCAGCACTGAAGGCTTTTAACCATTTACCTTGATCAAAGGCCAGTGTGAGGGTGGGTGCAACAGCTTTACCACCACTGGGAGTCCATAATGGAGACGAACTGCATTTTGAGCCATCTCTGCTTCTTGGTGTCTGCTGGTGAGGTGACGGAGCGCACAAATCGCAGGTTCTGTGATGTCTTCCCTGTCTCCAGCCCGGAGAACTGTGCGCACGAGAGCCTCGATGCCACCAACCTGGCACACCATCATCTTGTTCTTGTAATTGTTGCAGGTGAGGTTAGAAAGGATGCCAGCGGCACAAGTCACAACATTAATATCATCTGATCCTAAAAGCTGAACAAGAGTTCCTAGAAGGCCTTCCATGCCCTCCTGCAGAAAAAGAGGGAAGAAAACATTGAAGTCTTCTCTTCCACTATATTGACTTTTGCTCTTGATCCCTCAGAAGAGCCCTTTACCTGCTTTGTTGCAGCATCTGACAGATTTCTCAGAGTCC